TGTAGCCTGTCTTGCTGTCATTACTTCTCCAAACTTGAGCCCAAAGATTCTTAAATGTTTTTGTCCATGACAGTATAAGAAATACATTGTGGAGCAGTGCGCGAATATAGAAAAATAGAGCAATGCACACCAATTTTTCTATTCTCTATCACCGTACTTTCTCCTTCGTTAAGTGTGGGCCATAATGCAAACTGCTATACTCCAAAAACGCTAAAGCTATACCTTATACTGATGCCAGGGTCACCTTTCTAAAATAAACATCTCAGCATTTTATTCCCTTAATTAACATCCTCCAATGGCCCTCATCACCTTCATTCATTCCAATAATACTTTTTTTCACTGAGAATCAACAAGAGCTACTCTGTAATAAGTGAGGGTTAAAAGGTAAAAACACATAGTCCATGTCCTAATGGAACATTTTATATATATCCCCAAAGCTTTAACACTGTGTCCCCTGCTTTACACTCTTGAGCAGCTGCACTTTCATACCCAGTGTGGCTCTCTCATACACTACCCACTCACTTATCCTTCAAGATGCAAACTGCCTCATTTAATTCTTCCTTCTTTCCCCTTTCATTCTTTTATTTATCCACTCATCATCACCTAAAACTTAACCTCCTTCAATGTCTGATACCAGCAACTCTGAGCCCTTGTGGAGCTTACAGTCTGACTAAAAACCCCTTCCTAGATCCTCTTGATCATCCTCCGCCCATAGCACAGAGAAAATATGCTTGTTGGTCCACTTATCACCTGCCCCATAATGGACGGTATGTATCTGTAACTTCCCACAAGACTATAAGCCCCTCAGGTTTTTTTTTTGTTTTTTTCCAGTCAATTACTGAAAGAGGTGTGTTGAAGCTTCCAACTACAATAGTAGATTTGTCTATGTCTCCTTGCAGTTCCATCTTCTTTTTGCTCTGTATTCCACCACAAACGCTGCGCCTGGCCCATGGCAAGGCTATAAACAGAAATGAAGGAGGAAAGGATGGTGAAAAAAAGAGGCAGTTTGATTAGAATCACAAAACTGGCTTCTAGTATATGAAAAAAAATTGCAAAGAAGATTGCAATGCTAGTGGGGAAAGATTTTTAAAAGAAGGCATGGGGAGGGAGAAACATTCGGACCCTTTCAAACCTAGACTAGAGGTAAATCCAGAAAGAATTTCAATTTATATGAAGCAACATACCATTCAAATCCCTACGCCACGATCCCAAGCCTAGAGCAGGCACCATGAAGTGTGCTTTTCTCTTTTCTGGAAGCCATGCTCATAAATTCACCATTTTTCATTAAAAAATTCACCATGTTCCATTAAAACAATTGCTGCCCCTACCTGACAGAATCAAGGGCCTGAAACACATTAAAACTCAGCTGAAAATATTTTTTGGAGTTTTTAAGGACATAATATCTTCAGTTCCCTGCACCATGCTCTGATTCCAAGAAATACCGCATTCGTAGTTCAGTAAAGAAAAAGATTCACACTTCGCTTACATCTTACTGGTGTCATAAAGAATGCTTAATTCCCTATAACACAGACTTCTGTTTCACAGAAAAATTTCTCATTTGTTTTGCACTGGAAAACTGTGAATGGATACCCTTAATCACACAGTCGTGGGGAATCACTCGAGAACAGAAAGATGGCTTTATTGAGACCTAATATGTGGGATCTAATTCAAGGGGTCATTTGATGATAAGGAATAGAGATCTCTACATCCTGCCAACAGGTCTATTAGTGAGCTGAGCCTGGAGAGTTAATGAAACAGTACCTGAGTTAATGGCTTCTAGACAGATGCCCTATAAATTACGTGAATACACCTTCATATAGTATTACTTCTCTTTTGCTTCTGCCTCTGAATTAACAAGTTGCTGTCAGTTTTGTGCCTTTTAACTGTTATTCCCATTGTAGACCAGATCTTTTTTATGTTAAAAAAAAAAAAAAATGCATGTCAGCAGACTGCGCAACTGATAGTAAGGTCAACCAGCATGATTTTCTCCATGGTTTTGATTATTAGATTCATTTTACTCTGCAGATGAAAATTTTCAATGCCTTTGAAAAACGCTGGGGAAAATCTCTGGTCAAATTCAAGGTCTGACACAGAGACCTAAGTACGTTCATCTTGGCAAGGTACACACCTCTCCATCATTATCAGCAGGGCGAGAGGACCATCCTTTTTAGAAAAGTTATGTAACTGATTTTGCCTTCCTAAGGAGAGAAAAAAACATCCATTTGTGTAAGTATGTTGATATTCCTTGTCAGGTGAAATAATGCTTCAGTTAACTCCATTTTCAACTTGAAACGTTTTTGTTCTATCATGGTCATACTGACCTCCCTGCGGTCAGACATTTGCTTGAATGGGCTCTCATCAGTTCATATTTTTCTATTCTTCTATCCAGATAACTTATTTCTGAACTTAATTTCAGCTCTAAATTTTAGTCTCTTTCTCTTAAAATATGACTCTCTTCCCATATCTATTTTTTTTTGGTGTGCACTAGTGAGTAAAACAGATATAAAACATTGTGAGCAGGTGCTATGTGGTGGGGAAAAAGACAAACAATATTAAAGCTCTGTACTTTACTGTTGAAAAATAGTGGAAGAGACATGAAACCCACATGTGTAACAACAATGAGAAAAACTTTGGATCCACAGCACAAAGATAATTGCAAATTAAGAACGAAAAATACTGCAAATGGTGCCACTTTAAGGGTTTTAATAAAATAATAAATGGAATATTATGTAAGAATTTTCAGCAACTGCTTCCTGGAAGAAGCAAGAATTGCCAAATATACTTTACTTTAGTGAGTGACTAAGTGTGTGTGTGTGTGTGTGTGTGTGTGTGTGTGTAGGCACTATCTCATCTCTCTTTGGTAGTAGCTTCTTTTATTTGTCAAGAGCACATTAATTTTATCTTGACATTTATTCCCCTCCATTTGCAATCAGAACTCTTAATCCTAAAAGAGAAATAGAAAATGCCTTATTTTCCATCTGCTCTGTCTTTTCTATTTCCTATTATATTCATATCATTTCTTAACTATTTAATCTGATGATCTTATATTCCTGTTGAATATGCATATTTTAGTCTCAATATGTTATTCATTACCACTCAAACACACTTTCGGCCTTTTAAAATTAATTCTTTTTCTTTCCTTCATCCAGGCTCCTCAAGTTTATTTATTACCTTCTATCTTGATTTCTGTAATTCACTCGTGTTGGTCTTCTGACATTCTGTCTCAAAACACCATTGGAACCCTATTTAAAACTTTGAATCTCAAATAATTTATTCTCCCACTCCATCAATTCCACTGATTTCTAGTTCATCTCTGCCTCACATTTAAATATCTGACTCTCATTTCCCCCCAAGCACTCTATAAACCTTTAACTAACATTATCTATTTCTTCCACAAAATTACATGTATTTCCATCTCTTTGTGAGGCCTGTTTTCTAATTGCTTTCGTTTATTTAGCTTATCTCTCCAATTTTCTTCTTTTATAGTCGTTTTTCATAACTCTTCTTATTGTGCCACTTTTAATCACAGAAATGCACCTTGGTTTAAATGGCCTGAAGATAAATATTGAAAATGCATAAGTGAATAGTCTAAACTTGATTACCTAATGGTTTGGGTAAGGATAAAAGGAACATGAAGATAAATAGTCACCAGCCAGATTTAAGTACATAACAGGCTTTTGGCATTTATGCTCCCATATCCAGTACCTCCTATGGCCCCTCATCACTGATCTTCCTCAAGGCTAGAAACAAGAAAGTAATCTGAGATGCACTTTTCTCCCCCGCCCAAATGCTACTTTTCTTTGTCCACTTAGATATCAGAAGTTGAATTTTGAGCAAAGACAAAGGAAGTTTAAGAACTGTGTAATGGTTCCATCAACTCCTTTTCACGTTATACAGTTGTCAAATCAGTTCCATGATTATTAGTTTATTTAATCCACTGACACTCAATAAAAAGTGTTACTATAACAATGAGGTCAAAAGCAAAAAAAAAAAAAAATTGGTTCCTTAATCAAACTGTGAACATGATTTGTTAACACTGTTTCTTAAAACTCTCGACAACTTTTTTCTACAATGGAGCAGATCTCAATCAGCACTTTGAAGCATGATTCTGTTCTGAACACGAAATCATGGGTAAGGTGAAAGTCTTCAAAATTCATAATCTGGTTTGTATCAAGGCAAGCAAAATGAAGGTATGTGAGACCCATTTTTCTTCATTTAAATGGTGGGCAGATCTCTTTATTTCTTTGGAGAAAAAGATTCTCATAAGCAGAAAACGGACATTCCTATGTCTGATTCTGGGCTGTTTATAAATCAAAGATTAAGTGCCTCACTGCCTCTGAACCAAAGATGTTTCATTCCAGACCCTGAGCCTTCCTCTTTATGTTAGTCTCTATTAACATTTACTCCATATGCTCTTTCAAGGCTCCGAGAACCCCAAGTCAATCCAGTGCTCAGTTACACACATTCTCTACCTGTGGGCTTTACTAGGTAGGATTTTACCAATGGCCATTGCCATATGCATGAAATAGGAGGATCACTGGGAATTTGCATAAATTGTATTTAAATCTGCATACATTTGCCTAAATTATCTAATCCAATGCAGTTGTAGAATTAAAATTGAATTCTTCTTATCTGTTGGGTAGGTGTCTTCCTAAAAGTAGTTATTAACCTAAATGGCTGGAGAGAGGGTATAGACAGATAACATAAATGAATAGACTTGGCCAATAGATAAGTATAAAAAAAAAATAAGATAGGTAGAGGCTATCTTGGTGGACAGAGGGTAGGGCCTCAGCAATAATCACTGAGCCAAAGAAAACACATCTCTGAGCCATAGGCAACTGGAGGTTACAGGCCTACAGTTCTTATTGCTTGAGATGACCCTTGAACAACATGAGTTTGAACTGCGTGGGCCTACTTATGCACAGATTTTTTAAAAATAAATACTGTAAATATATTTTCTCTTCCTTATGATTGTCTTAATAACATTTCCCTTTCTCCAGGTTACTTTATTGTAAGGATGTAGTATAAAATACATATACCGAATATGTGTTAATTGGCTCTTTATCGTACTGGTAAGGCTGTAACAATAGTCAACAATAGGCTATTAGTAGTTAAGTTTTAGGGGAGTCAAAAGTTACATGCAGATTTTTGACTATGTGGGGGTGGGGGTGCCCCTAACGAACTCTCCTCACGTTGCTCAAGGGCCAACCGTATATGGGCAGAAATTACCCCTGAACTCCTCCCACAAACACAAAGCACTTTTACATAAGGATGTTTTTCTCTACAGGGTACCCACTCCTCCTTCTTACTCACTCACATGTTCTCATAATTATAAGTGCCTAATGCACTTTAGATTTCAACTGGTTTGGAGAAACAAGTCATTTTGGGTGGGAGGTTGAGACTGAGTGGCAAGTTGTAAAGAGGAAGTCACTGTGCAGGTCCTTTTCTTTGTGATCTCAGACTGCCCACGATTTATGGAATGGCTTCTCTCTTCAACAGCAGCCATGTCTTCCAGGAAAAAGATAAAATAGAGGATACCCAGTTCAATTTAAATTTCAGTTAAACAATAAATACTTTTTTAGTATAAGCATGTTCCAAATATTGCATAAGACATATATATAGTAAAATGTTGTTATTTATCTTAAGTTCAAATTGAATTAGGCATTCTGAATTTTTATTAGCTAAATCTGGCAACCCTACCCAGGACCAGCACTTCTTCTTGGGTGGTGCTTTCAGTTCCAGGTCTTCCTAGTCCCATGTGACAGTACCTGGTCAACAGAACAATCACTGGCAGAGCACCGGAGGCAGTTATGTGGACTCTAGAACCAACTGGGTTCTAATTCCAGCTACGCAACCTCATGGAAATTTATTTAACCCCTATACATCTATGTTAGTTTTCTCAAGTGGTAAACATCCTATTTTATGTGTCTATTATTAGGAAGAAATGAGACAATCCATACAAAAGTGTGAGGCTTCATGTTTGTCACACAGTAAGCACTCAATAAATGCTGGGTGTCATTAGTAAGCCATAATAATCTCCACAGGTTGCCTTGTCTGGTACAGACAGGCTACATTCTAGCTAACGTTTAAAATTCTTTTACTAATACAATAAATATTTATTTAGCATTTATCATATGCCCTCTAAACTGTAGGAAAATAAATTCAAATTTAGAAAAATATAGTTTTACATTTTAATACAGAACTCCAGAAAATTCTTAAAGAAGCTTACATTATGCTCATGGGATAGACTGTCAATTTTTCATTTGTTCCTCAGTCTTATTTATCTCTTTTGTCTCCCTATTACTCTTCTTCAGCTTATCAGAAGGCAAGTGTATGAGCAGCAAATAGTCACTCTTTTTATCCACTAGACAGAGCAAGACACTTTCTTTATCGCAAATGATTTACTTGCTCTCCAGACACTTCCCCTCCCCAACAGACACAGACACAGATACAGACACAGACACACACATACACACACATGCACACACATGCACCTGTCCCACCTCTACCCCCCACTCTGGAACTCTATGTCTTGGGGCATTACTGTTCTTCTCTTAACTTAATAAGATGGAAATTCAGACAGAGCAGTTAAGAACTTGCTCAAGGGAGCACATAGGGAGCCAGTCGGGGAGCTGAAATGAGCCTGCCCCAGTTCTTGGCTCCCGGCCCAATGCTCTGTCCAACAGACCATAGTGGACTCCTGGGTCTGCTGAATAGGGGCCCCACGGTTGCTAGGGCACAGGATGAAGCCAAGGTTAGAAAACTCTTATGATGCTCCCCATGGCGATTAATCTGTTTGAAGGTCTGGGCTCTGAACCTTGGATTCCAGGTCCGCATTCCTTCATAAAACCTCGTGTTTTGAAAGCCATAGTCAATGACCCTGTGAATTTAACTAGATGCATTCTTACAAAGCAGCGTCATAAAGGAAAGCTCCTAAGTGATTGGAATCTGCCAACATGCTGTCTTATGCTCCTGGCTCCCAGTATGGGGGCCTGAGAGAGGAGAATCCCACGCCAAGTCAATTTTCACTGCTTGGGCTACCAGTGTGGAATGCTGGGCTTCCTTAGAGGCATGGCTGTCACTTTGGATGCTCTTCTTAATGAAGGCTTAGGCACTAATCTAAAAGGTCAGTGCTTGCTTACACCACAGTACTGGTAGCCACACTTAAATTGCATATCCACTGCTGATAGGGTAGGGGCTGTTTCAGGCATGGTGGAACTCACATCTCTTTAACCTGATAAAAATGAAATCTATATGCTCTTTGCTTTTAAAAGCTTCAAAGTTTTTATATACTTCAGTGAATCAGCTAAAGGAAAGGTAAGGTCAATTGTCAGAACCTCCTAGAAAGAAAATTGTGACCTTTGCCTCTCTCTCTCTCTCTCTCCCCACCCCCCGCCCCCGCTCTTGTTCATTAATTGCTTTCATGAAAACTAAAGAAAAACAAGACAAATGATCAAACGATTCTTATTTAGAAAGAAAAATGCTCTCATTTAAGAATCTTAAGAAAGGTATTGCTCAAGAAAGTTTGTTATATTTGTTCAAATTAGAGAAATTCCATTGTTATTTAGCCTTATTTACTGATCTGCCTCATACGAGCTATGCTTCCTCCCCTACTCTCAGTCTATGTGGTTGAGATGTGGCTGATTCTACCGGCAATGGGGCATAGAACCTAGGCTTAGGCACTCAGCATTTTCCTGCCCTTTGCCAGAATAATCAGTTCTGTATTGAGCCTGACACTCAGTTCAGGACAATTAGAGTCAACCCTGGGACTTTGCTAGAACTATGAGATGTATCACCCCAAAGGGAAAGTCTGCCTGAGTGAGAATGAAGAAAAGCAGAGAGAAGCAGGGCCGACCAATGGAGAAAGAGTGATTTCTACTAATTCCGCATGCACACCCAGAGCCAAGTGTGCAGTAAATCAGCAATACTCTGATTTTCAGCTGTAAGAGCTAAGGCATCCTTCCTTTTGCTTAAGTCAATTTGGACTGAGTTTTCATCATTTGGAATTGAAAGATTATTGATAATAGTAAAAAAAAAAAAAAAAAAAGGCTTTGTTGAGAAGCCTACGGTCAAACTCTATAGTGAGAATTGTATGTCCCAGGTACTATACATATTCATATGTATAAGCAACTTCGAAGCTATCCATGGATTCTATTAGTCTTTTTTTGCTCCTCACCAGAGTATAGGAACAACTCCCGTCCCTTTAACCAAAACAAGTAAGCAAATAATTCTTGCATATTCTGTGCCTTCTTCACTGTCTGCTGCATTATCATTGTCATCGTAAATAGCTCTAATAGGTGGCTAAAATGTTTTTTTGTTTGTTCGTTTTGGGGGATGAAGTCAGTTTTGTTTTTTGCTTTTTTTTTTCTTATTATTGATCTAGATCAGAAAACTATGGCCTGCAGGACAAATCTAGTTTACTGCCTGTATTTGAAATAAAGTTTCATTAAAACACATTTATTCATTTATATATTGTCTATGGCTGCTTTAGCACTATCAGGGCAGAGTTGAGCTGTGACAGAGACCAGATAACCCATAAAGTCTAAAATATTTACTATCTAGCCCCTTACAGAAAAAGGTTCTTAACCTCTGGTATAGATTATTAACCTGGGAATGACTGCAGCCTTTAGTACATTTTGCAATATCATTGATATCTTTATTCCCTATACGGTTAGTGTTCTTTTGCAGGCTATGGTGACGAGAGGAGGAAGTTGAAACATCTTTGATAAGAAAAGTCACTGCTTACCTAGAGTGGAAATAGAAGCTAAAAAAGGATTTTCCTTTTCCTCCTCCCACCACAATATGAAGAAATATAGGGGCCATCTGTGTCAGATTTCTGGCAATTTGCCACCATTCTCTCCTTCTAGCTTATAGGCTAAAAGTCTGGAAACTACACTTCCCAGAATCCTTTGCTATAAAGTTTCCGAGCTAGATTGTACTAGTAAAAAGAACTCCCATGATAGGTAGAAAGCAAACAAAACAGAGAGATATTAGCACTCTTCTAGCAATGGTGGGAAAATGCATGGGCTTCAGCAGGTTGGCAAAAAGTTTTTCAATGGTCTCTGAAAATCATCTAATTTAGTGTTTCAGGCTGTGGTGACCATTCTGTGGGTTCTGCGTCTACAGCAGAAACCTGAGAGCCAGCAGAGCCTTTTCCTGACCTTTCAACTTTCAGTTCTTCCGATGGTTTTGCATGCATCCAATCCCCTATTTTAAGACCCTTCTGGCTCGAAATACCTAGACCGGTTTCTGTTTTCCTGTCTGAGCCTTAACTGATACACCGTGATATTCCCTGTATGACACCATGAAATATTCCCTTCCGCCTCAGAAGCAATAAATGGCAGTGCTGTGGTTTCTTAATAGTTCAGCATGGTTAGTAAATGAGCCAGTGTTATAAGTCAATGGGTGATTGATTCCAGTGATCTGCCAATCAATCATTGCTGGTGAAGCATTGTATGCAACAAACAAATGCCAACTGTCGTCACTGTTGTTATGATTTTTCAGGCAGAAGGTGTGGCATCTGCAAGGACTAGATGTGTGTGAGAAACAGAGAGTGGTTTAGAGACACTGAAGTACGAGCCTTGAGAGGACTGGAGAGGATGATGATAACTGAGAACGTTTTATGCTAAACCAAGGTATTTAAAGTTAATATGACTGCTTGTATTCCTCAGCCTCCTGGAAGAGCATAAGAAAAGTAAATTGATATACAAATGAACTGGCATTTGTCCAACTGTATTTTCAGGAAAGCTCAAAGTGACATCAAACTAGAGATAATGGGAATAGTAAGCTGTTTGCAGAGACTCGGCATACAGCAGTGACAAAAGCCCTGAACTGATTTCAGGAAATGTGCATTCTAGTGCAGCTGCAGCCACAGCTGGCTGAATGACCTTGGCTGAGTCATCTCTCACAAGGCCTTGGTCCTTTTCTCTACCAAATGAACCGGACAACCTCGAAGGCTTTTGTCGAGGCTGTGATTCTATTATCTACGGTTTAGAGGGAATTGAGTCAATGGAGAACCTCAGGAGTTGTGAGAAGATTAAGGCAATAGAAGCAGAAATCTCCAAAGCATAGAGTTCTTTCTACTCTTGATAAGTTATCACAGAATCAATCTCACTCAGTGGACACTAGCAAAAAAGAGTAGGGGACCATCATGATTCCTCTCCTTCCCTCCCTCCTTCTCTTTTGTTTCTCCTTTTCCATTTACTACTTTGTTTCCTTTCTATCTGTCTCCCTCCTCCCCTTCCTTCTTTTTTCTTTTTTCTTATCACATATACACAAGAAGGTCTGACTTCAGGGGC